CTACTCTCCATAAAGAAGTGCCAGAAGAAGTAACAAATTATTTCAAAATTTATATTTATAGGTACAATTATGGGAGGAGAAGGGTATCCTAAGTGGCCTGAACACCTAAATAAGAAAAATAGGACAATGTTGCTGAGAATTTGCAGAGGTTTGAAGGAAGAAACTCATGGTAGTAGGTACTTCCTTCTGGGGATGGGGTAAGAAAGAAATTTAGTTTTTACTTTGTACTTTTAAATATTGTATCAAGTGCATGAAAAGCTAAACAGTAATATCCATAAATGATTAGTGCGGAAAAAACACAAGGTAATTACCTGCAAAAAAAAAAAAATAAAAAATTCTAGGAACGTAGTGTAGTGTTTCCTGCCAGAGTCTTCTTCATTCATATGATAAAGATCCCTAAACTGTATTTTCATGCTATATACCAAAATAAATTCTTGATGCTTCATGCATATATGCATTCAGCGTAAAATATGGAATAAGGAAATGAAATGAGAGAAAAACAAAGATAAAGATACAACTCATCTCAAGATGGTGGAAAAGTTTTATTTCATTTTCGCATAAACAATGCATATAAAGTATGAAGAGACCGATCTTTTCCACTATGTTTTATGTTTTTCTTTTCCCTAGAGGTTGGATTACATTAGGAAAATGAGAAACAAACAAACAAAAACAAACAAACAAAAAACAGCAAAGTAAGTTATTTAATCACTCCAAGCACCGTTTTTGAAATATTCTTTCCCATTTCCAAATGAATTATGATGCTGTATTTGTGCATTTAGTTGCTTTGTATACTAAGTTTGACAACAGTTGTTGTTGCCAGGGGCTTAATTTATCTACAGAGAGGATTACACTGTCATAGAAAATGTTATGCATTTACAGAAAGTATTTAAGGCAGAATACAAAAACACAAAATGCTAGATTACCTGAAAAAAAAAAAAAAAANATTTACAGAAAGTATTTAAGGCAGAATACAAAAAAAAAAAAAAAAAAAAAAAAAAAAAAAAAAAAAAAAAAAAAAAAAAAAAAAAAAAAAAGAGAAGCAGGGAAACAGAATGTAAACATACAATAGTGCTTAGCATGATGCTAAAAATAGATACACTTGCTAATAAGCCATAATTTTGGTTTTACGTTTTCTAGCCACAAAGCAATAGAGAAGCACAGTCAGTTACATAATTACCAACAAAAATCTCAAGTAGGAGTAGGATAATTGTTTGAGAATAGGGTCATATTTGGAACTAAATTCAGAAGAAAAATTTTTCCGTAGGTAGTTGATATAACACACCAAACCCATAGATGCTACAGAGTTGATCAATACCTTGTCATATTCTATTAATATTCATAATATAGGAAGGCCTCTAGAAGGCATCTTGTTTTGAAGGGAATCTTTTTATTTGACTGTTGGAATTCCCTTCTCACTTTCCTTCTTTCTCTTTTCCCTTTCTTCTTTTACTTTTTATTCTGTCTTCCTGTTTTCCTGTCCCTCCTTTTTCCTTTCCTTATTCTTCTACTGGGTGGCTGCCTATGTATTCTCCCTCAAAGTATTAAGGGCATTCGTTTGTAGGGTATATAAAAATTTGCTATTCTGGAGGATTTTCATATAGATACTTTGTCTTCATTGGAAAATAACATGTAATGATTTCTTTTCCATGACCTGGAACTGTTTAATTAGCATTAGAGATATCTATTCCTTGAAGATTTTAGAGACAGGACCTTGAAATCATCCAAGTCTCTCATCAAAGGGGCAGAAAGGGAGGGTGGTGATGATGATTATGGGTCTTTGACAACTTTATTTTTTCCAGATATTTGGTCTGTTTAAATTTCTCCTCTTATGGACACTTTTGGTAATTCATATTATCCTAAGAAATCATTTAGTTTTCAAAATTAATTGCATATATAGTTTTTTCAATTTCCTTTTAATGTGTATGTATTTTCTCATTTAAATGTCTTATTTCATATATTTGTACTTTTTCCTTGTTTATAGACTAGCTATTGATTTCTCTATTTCATTGTCTGAAGTAATCAGCTGTTTTATAATTCATTAATTTCTAACTATCTTTTAAATTTATTCTGCTTAGATTTAATGTTTTCATTCTCTAACTTTTTGAGCTTGATACTAAGTTCACTTATTTTATTTTTCATTTATCATAATTGTTCTTTAATGTTTTATATATTTTGAGGTTATATTTTTGGTGTAGTGATATTAATGATGTTATATCTTCTTTGTGGTTTGTTACATTTATCATTTCAAAGGTTAATTGTGTTGAATTCAAACGTATGTGGTATTAAAATTGTACTTCTAATTTCTACCATCATTTTCCTGGCATACCTTTGACAATTCCTTTATTTTCAGGCTTTAGTACCTCTTGAACCTTAAAATATAATTGGACCATGTCAACTCATGCTTTAAGATCTCAGACTTCTCTTTGCCTTAGAATTGAGTGATTCCCTTTGAGCGCTTTAGCCCCCATCTATGAATCTTAAGACACTGAGCCATTTCCCAGTCTCTTCTCAGACCTCGCCATCCCCTGACTTCCATGTCCCTAGCATAGGAGTCTCCTCCTGGTGCTTGCAGTAAACTCTTGTGATGCTCTTTGCCTCCACAATTCTATTCTCTCAATCTGGAACCTCATTCCCTTAATTCTTCAATTGCTTTATTCTTTGTCATCATGCTTTGGCTCAAATATTACCTTTTTAGAGGTTTTTTTTTTTCTCTGATCACTGTGATCCAACTCCAAACCACCAAACCTCACAAACACTTCAGTCATATTTCCCTCATGGCATTCATCATCTGAATTTATCTTATGTATGTATGTATGCATTTTTCATATCTATCTCCACTGGAATTTAAGTTTCTTAAATGCAAGACTTTTGCCTGCATTTTCCACTATACAAAGAGTGTCCACCTAGCAAATACTTGGCAAACAATAAATATTTGTTGAAAGAAGTAAAATAATTTCAAAGGAAGGAAAGAAGGATAGAAAGAAGGAACTGTAGCCATTTTATTTTCTTAAAACTGTATTTGAGGTATCTATGGGGTTCAGTTATGCCTTTCAAAGCTCAGGTATTTTTTTTAGATAGGGTCTCTCTCTGCTGCGCGGCTGGAATGCAGTGGCGTGATCACAGCTCACTTCAGCACTGCAGCCTTGACCACCCAGGATCAAGCAATCTTCCCATCTCAACCTCTTGAGTAGCTATGACCACAGGTTCAGGCCAACATGCTGAGTTAATTTTTAAATATCTGTAAAGATGAGGTCTTGCTATGCTGCTCAGGCTGGTCTTGATCTCCTGGGCTCAAGCGACCCTCTTTCCTCTGCCTCTCAAAGTGCTAGATTATAGGCATGACCACCGCACCTGGCCTAGAGTATTCATTCTAGCCTAAGTTTTACTCCATACCTCCTGCTGTTCCACATAGATAATCACCAGCTGTTATAGGTTAAAATAATACGGTTTCCCTTGATTAAATAAGTAATTTTTATTGGTATATAATTTGTAATCATTCCTTTTCCACCCACTTCCCATATGCAATACTCATATAATGGATGTCGTAAGTTCTCTTCTCCTTCACCCCAGTGACCTTTAATACATTATTCCCAAAGTTACTCTCACACAAACATGACTTCAACATTTGTAGAGATCCTAACCAAGAAATCCCTAATATCATCAGAGATAATTACAAAATCTTTCTGCAATGGGTCATACCCACAGAGATTTCAGGAAAAAGAGATCAAAAACTTTAGAAGACCGAAAATGGAGAGGCACATTTCCAGATGATTCAACATTCCCTGGAGCTTTTATGAAAGCAGTTTTACTTATATACTTCCAAGCAAGTTTCAGGAATGTATTACATCGAAATTAAGCAGTAACTGGAAAAGAGCCATGTTTTTGCTAATTATAAAAAGCAGATAATAATCTCTAGCTCACATGAACCTACTTCCACCATAAGATCCTCTGATGGCAGCATACCCCTAATTATGAAATTCATCTTTTCATATTTTAGATCAAACTACACTCCTGAAATAATGATCACTGCAATCCTTATTTATAGGGTATCTGCTATTTCCAGACAATGGGAAATAAACATTTTCGTGACATAGTATGTTGTCCTCCGGAGCTCACCGTACTCAGAGAGACAGGCATGAGCACAGATAATTTTGATAGTAATGCTAAGTGAAATTAAAGAAGCTAGAGGAGGAGCTCTTAGCCCAATAAAGAGGTAATGTTAGGATGCCCCTAGGAGATAATGCCGAAGTGAGATTTAATATGTTCAAATTACTGAGATTAAAATAGGAAGCAGAGTGATAAATATCATAGAGGGGCACTAAAGACTAGTTTGCTGATGAAATAAAGAGGTCTATTGGAATCAAAGGAGAGGAAAGTAGCTATACATTTCAGGGCTGATTAGTTTACTAAACATTTTTTTAAAATATCTATGTTCATATCCATCTGCATATATAAGGAGAACCAAATGCTCACAACATTGCGCTAACAAAGCTTTCTTCCTAGTGGAGAGAGACTGATAATAAATACAAAATATAATTATAATGCAAATTAGTAATTATATAATTATAAATATATAATTAAATAATTAGTAAACATATAATTATATAATTGCTATAATTATAAATGTATAATTATCTAATTAGTAATTAACTATAATTAGTAAGAATATAGTTACTAATAATTATATAATTATTACATATATAATTACATATCATTTTATAAGGTATATATTATCAATTATATAATATTAATATATAATTTAATTTTATATTATTATAAAATTATTATAATAGTACAATATAGCTATTGTCAATTATGTTCACTCCAGAGGTAAACAAAGCAAGATAATGAGTAAAAAACAGTAGAGGGGGTGGTGGTGATATTTTAGATAAGGTGACCAAGAGAACATCAGATGTTTACCTGGAGAATCAATTTATACTGACTATAAGCACACCTATGGCTACAGTTTGTAAGCAAGCTAACAGTGAAAGTGTACTTACCAACACTTGCCCTACAAAGGTCTGGGCCGAAAGTAACATTTCTATACGATCACGAAATTGTCCCTTCAAGCGGAGGCTTCTTATAGGGTCCTTATCGATCCTACCTGATGTAAACAGTTCCTACAATCGAGAGAAAGAAACTGAAGATGTGAGCTGCATCTCAGAGAAAGAAATCTGTTTTACTTATGTTGATAGAGCCTCTTGTGATGGTATCAGTCGGAAATCATTCTACCTTGTCTAAACCAGGGAACCCTGAAGTTGCTTATTCAATATTTCATAATACGGATTTTACTGGATTTGCATTTTCCTGGTTTTCTGCAAAGCTTTTTTATACTGAATTCTGTAGTCTTCCTCCATGTCCTTCTCACATATACTCAGTCCCTACACCCTTCAAACTGACATCACTGCAAGGATCAGAATTAGGAGCAGCATGCTTCTTTCTGCTCTAGATATAAGTGTAACAGTTTCCGTTGAGATATGTGGACAAAGAAAAAAAGATTACAAATTGATTTTTAGGTGATTACTTAAGTGTCCACATTTTGTGAGAGAAGGGGGAAGTTTTCAGCATTTTTGTGTTGCTTTTAGTTTTTTGCCCGATGTTATATTCTGAAATTGTAATTCTTCCTCATATTTATAGAATGTCTTTACTGATTATATTTAAATGTTATAGCAATCCCATATGATAAAGTTAGGCATGATTAAATCAATTTTATATTGCTATGAAAACCAGGAAATGGAGAAATTGAATGACTTTCCTAAGATCAGGCAATGAGGAAAGGCTGGAGCCTGAGCTAGTCCATTGTTTGTTGATAATAGTCTAGACTCACCGCAAAGAAATATCTGAACCAACTAGGACAAGCCATACCAAGCTGACTGAGTCTCTCCGACTTTCAAAAAAACTCATTTTATATAAAGCCAGGATTTCAAAATCACTTAATTTTTCTACTCATATTTTCTGAATGATAGGAAGGGAAGTCTCATTAAAAAATGCTTTGATAAAGTTCACATCCTGATCAATGATTTGTCCTCTAATACTCAATGACTCGTGTGTGTTCCTAAATGTTGCCTGAGAACTAATTTTAAAAAATACTAGGTATGACATTAGTACAGAACACTCATTTGAATTCCATCATCAAGTTGGAGCTACCTTCTGTGGAAAAACAAATTGGTCCTAAGATATAATAAAATCCTGCTTACAGATGTAATAAATGTTTTAAAATGCACATTTAAGGAGAGAAATTATAACTCTCCAAATACTTTTTTAAATAGCTCTTCACAGTACACCTAGATTTCTGACTTTTTTTTGGTTTTGGTTTTACATTTGTCCAACTTCTCCAAAGGCTTAGTGAAAAACAGGGCCCTCTCAATTTAATGAAACAAAACAACTTGTTGAAAAGTAACTCAACTTTGATCAAACTCTTTCCTCAAGATTCACAAGAAGAATAGTACAGCATTCTGGTTACTCAGGCTCACTTCTTAACATTTTGTAACACTTGCTAAATATTTGTAAGTAAAAGGTACACCTGGATTGAAGTATAGACATAAGTTACACCCAAAGTAAGAGATGAAAAATATAGGAAATTGAAAAATGCACTCTCATATTTTTGTAATCACACAAAAAAGAACATGATAGGGAAGAAGAACATTGTCTGGAGCATAAGACTAAGAAGCGTTCAAAATCCTACAAATTGAGTTGTGCATTAAAAACAACAAAACAAGGTAGAAACCAGGAGGCAGATTCATCATAGCTATTTATCCATGAGTCAGTATCCTACAATTCTTTCTACAATTGTTACACCACTGCTCAAAGTCCTTAATGTAGAAATAATCAGTAGAGCAAACTTGTTTGGGAGCAAAATCTATAAGCTTCAATATTGGATACTTTTCAAATACAGAAATCAAAATTCCATATTACCAATAACCTTAAAAATTTATCAATTTATACATTATATTTTTATGTAGATTTTTAGCACTAAAATAAATATTTTAAGTGAATTTTCAATATTATCATGCACAGGTGAAATGTGTTCTGTTATGGAAATTGGTATAATCTATTAGAAAAATAAAGTTTGGGAAGCAAAAATGGAAATAAACTACACAGAGTAAATAAAACTCTTCACCTTTGACCTCTGGTAATAGGACATCCATTACACAGCATTTGAGGGTTTTATTTCAAGCTCTTAAGCAATGCCTTATCTGTATAATACATTATTTATTCTCATCATCATTGTTTGCCAGCTGTTATTCAACAACACCAACTCCTGCTAAGCTTGTTTGGGTATAAGAAGTGTCCTTGCATTTATGGCTGGATGGTGCATGTGTGTGTGCGTGGGCTTCTGTGTGTATGTGCAACTCAGTGTGTTGTCTTTACATGGTATACAAAAGGCAATGTATGCATGTCAGTACATATGCATTATGCACAAACGATTTATGAAAGTGGAGTTGACGTTGATGTCTTGTTCCTTTTCACCTCTTTTCTACGACCTAGCACAGTTGTCTTGTTAAGATTCAAGATAGAGGCATGGACATAATGTTTATGAACCTTTTTTTCAGAACAGTGATGTCTGTTTCCAGAGCTAACATTAATCATCCCCCCACATAAGACACTGCTTTTTCCAGTGATGGGAGAAACAAGAGGCCTGGCCCTGTCTCTGCAGGCTTCAGAATGTGGCCTGGGGTCTGGCTTACTACCCTTTCTGAGGGACCAGGCCATAGATGCTGAGTCTGTTAGCCTGAAACACTGAATGAAGCCTAGATCTTTTGCTAAACACAAACCTACCCCAAACCCGTCTCTGACTTCACACACAGGGATCCCTAATAAGGAAACTGACCAAGATAATCCCTGTTGCCTTGTTGATTTGCCGTTTTTTAGCAGCTCTCCAGATCAGCCTGAAGATCAACAGGATGATGAGTCCACTGAAGAAGGTTAAAATGGAGGAGAGAATGAACGCTGTTTGGATCTCAGTTGTACAGGAAATTTTTGCCACGTCTTCCCCATTTTCATCTTTTAGCTTAGTGTGAACTAAGTCCGAACTTAGTCTGAACATGTCTGAAACATGTTTGAGACATCAGTAGACAGAATCGCTGGGCCATTTGATGACATAGTGGTCGCCTGGTAACAATTTCAGGAGTCAGAGTTCACTGTACCACAGTGTTCCAATGCTAGGTGTGATAACCAGTGAGAGGTTCCATCAGGTTGGCCAACCCCCTGGTGCCAGCTCTTGGGTTGTTGAATGAATACACAACTGGAGATGGCTGGGGCCTACAATATGAGTAGTAAAAAAACTAGAATTCTAGATCTTATTGTTACTTTCTCTGTGCCTTGAGGAAATCCGATTCTCTGTAGCAATGATCAGCTGGTTATCTGTTAATGCCGTGAAATAATTTCAAATCAACTTCTTTTGAGTGAAACGACAGCCAACTACGTGTGTGAATGAGTTGGTTCTCCATCTGGGAGGATGCCATGTTCTTAGTAAGCTTGGAAGGGCAGAAGAGAGAAGTACTTTAAGGTTTTTGTTTATCCTTTAAATAAAGGAGCAGATAGGCAGGATTAATAAGTCTAGAAGATCTAGTGTACAGAACAAAGAATATAATTAATGAAATTATTTTCTCTTCATGATTTTTGCTGAAAGAGTAGATTTTAAGGGCTCTTGCTACATATGCACACAAAAGATGAACTATGTGAGATGATAGATACTTGAATTTGCAGGACTGCAGTTGCTGTTTCACTATGTGTAAGTATATTGAAAGAGCATTTTTCATTTGTACTCATATGTGGGAGCTAAAACAGCGGATCTCATAAAGATAGAGAGTAGATTCATGGGTATTAAAGGCTGGGAAACGTGGCAGAAGAAAGAATTGGGATAAAGAGAAGTTGATTAATGGGTATAAATATTTGATTTGATAGAATAAATAACATCTAATGTTCAATATATCAGGGAGGTGACTGCAGTTTATAATACTCTATTGTAAATTTCAAAATAGCTAGAAGAGAATAATTTGAATGTTTCTAGCATAAAGAAAATACAAATATTTAAGTTGATTGATATCCCAAGTACACTGACTGGCTCTGTACAAATTATGTGAATGTATTAAATTATCACATGTGCCTTGAAAATATGTGTATCTCTGATGCATCAATCCAAAAAATATCATGTTATACTCCATAATTACACACAATAAAACTCAAGATTACCTTGAAACAGAAAAAAAGGGTTTTGTTTATTCTTTACATGAGAAAGGCATAATGTAGAGATGCTGGTATTGAAACGGCAGTTTAACTAGTGTGGTCATTGGTTGATTGCTATTTCAGCCCATAAATCTGTTCCACTTATCTCTTCTTTATGGAAACCTCCCCTTTCTTGCTTTTATTACTGCCCTGGCAGCAAAACTTTTGGCCCAGCAGAGGTAAAGTTCAGAATGAGAGAAATCTCTTTGATTTTCCCTGATGTTTTCAAAGGTATAAGAAATGTCACGCCTTTCAGTGTGCACAAGTGGCAGGTGAAATGTCAGAACCCAGTGGAGGGCCTCGTTCACCCCAGTTATTACGAAGATGACCTGACACCAGGTGAAGAGACCCAAGAGAAATCTCCGCGCTGTCCTTGGGAGCCCATCATGACTCTGTGTTGTTGGGCAGGCTGTTTCAGACGATAACGGTAGCATTTCCTAGGACAGCTGCCACAGTTACATTTCCTTCCTTTAAGCTTACCTATCATTTCTACAAAATCCTGTCATTGAGTGGCGTTTAGAAGGACACTGGTCTAGGAGTTAGGAGCCCTGCATTCCAGCCCAGTCCTTCTATTAAGTTACTGTGTGATGTCTAACAAGTCATTACAATTTTTGTAGTCTTTTGATTTTATGTGGAAGATAATACCTACTTGATAGTTATTGTAGGGATTCAAAAAGGTAGTGTGAACATAGTTTGAAATGCATAAAACTCAATATAAGATGCCGTTAGCCATTTCTATTCTTTTTTTGAGTGACATTATTTTAAAAAAGGAGGAGGAAGAAAGTAAAGGGAGGGAGGGAGGGAGGAAGGGAAAGAGGAATGAAGGAAGGAAGAAAGGGAGGGAAGGAGGGAGGAAGTAAGGGAGAGGGGGAGAAATTACTTGTTAATTTCTCTCCTGCGTGTGTGCACACTCATGCACACACACACACACACACACACACTTCTAGCTATTTGGACAAGATCAGAGTTTCCAAGCCAAAATTCATCCACATCCTTTACTTAGTATTTTCCCTCTTACGTAATGATTAAGCTGTCATTATTCACTTTAATTTTCTCATTTTCTTCACTTTTGCTATTTACTATTTCTTAGGATGGAGAAAAGATACAGAGATCAAGCGGTGGTTGGTCGGCTCAACAGCAACACAGGCTTATTGAACAAAGACTTGCAGAGGGGGCACACCAGCCAGCACTGGAGTCCAAGCCCCACTTACAGACTGGAGCAGTTGTAGGTCTGGACAGGGGAGGTGGGGCAGTATGGGTAGCTGAACTGCAGGATATGATAAGGGAGGAATTTCTTGCAGTCAGACGGTTAGGCCTGTGACCTGCCAGAATGTTTCTCATGGCCCAAGCCCCTCCTGTGGTATTTTCAACCCTAACCATGGTGTGCAAAATGGCATGGGTTTACAGGATGGCGCTGGTTGAGCTAACACTATTTTCAATGTATTTTGATTCTGCTGTATTATGATGCATCCTGGGCATCTCTTCCCTTTTTGCAGATACTGATCTATGAATCCATAAAAGGGATTCCATTTCATTCAAATAGGCAGGTAGTTTGTCTCTCTAATATTCTTTTATCCTAATAATAATACTAGTGTCTGCAAATGAGTCGAAAATTGTACAGGTGGTTTCAAAGTCAGTCTCTTCAAACCCGTCTTGAACCTAGCATGACCAACAGTCGCTGTTCAGAACTATTCCAAGTTCAAAACTGAATGTCCAGTGCCTTGAAAAACCGCCCAGTCCTGGCAAACTGCAGCGACTGATCACCTGCATCCCAAGACACATCATTTATGCTGTGCTCCAATTAGACTGCGTCCTCTCAGCCACGAGGACATGCAAACCTTTTCCTTCTCCAGGCCCTTACAACACAATGCCTCTGTTCCCTCTGCCCAGAGCACTCACTTCATTAGTGGTTGCTATTTTGTTGTCCTTCAGTTCTCCCTTGGTCTCTCACATGACATTCTGACCCTTTCTTTTATAGCACTTCACAGTACTCAAGATTTGTTGTTATGTGATTTACTTGCTTCCTGGTTTGTTTTCTGTCTCCTTTCACAAGACTGTAAGCTTCACAAGTGCAGGGTGTCATCGCTGCTTTACTGGTCACCGATGACTCTGTGTAATCGGTGTAGTATTGTACCTGGCACCTGCCTGGGAATGTGTATAGACTTTATAAATATTTGGTGATTGAATGAATACATTGTTGATCCTCAAAAATATTTGTTAGGTGAATGAAATACTAAATCTGCATGAACCTTAACCCAAGTTACCCAGATTTCTCTGCTGCATATTTCTCATCTCTGACTGCAAACTGTTCTTGTGACAAAAGCACCATCCATAGTGTGTAATGCATGGTTCATAGTGTGTGTGCATGTGCATGTGTGTGCATAAGTGTGTGTGTGTGTGTGATGAAAAGGGCACCTGATTTGGAAAAAGTGTCACCATCTTAGCAAATTTATGGCTAGGTGCAGTGGCACATACCTGTAATCCCAGCACTTCAGGAGGCCAAGGTGAGTGGATCACCTGAGGTCAGGAGTTTAAGACCAGCCTGGCCAACATAGTGAAACCTCCTCTCTACTAAAAATACAAAAAAAATATTAGCCAGATGTGGTGGGTGCCTGTAATCCCAGCTACTCGGGAGGCTGAGGCAGGAGAATTGTTTCAACTTGGGAGGTGGAGGTTGCAGTGAGCTGAGATCGTGCCACTGCATGCTAACCTAAGCTACAGAGCATGACTCCATCTCAAAAAAAAAAAAAAAAATTGGTAATTATTTTCGGTTAGTGAGTTATTTGGTGATGGGTGACATGTGACTAGGCACAGATCTTTGTAGCTTGGTAGTAGTTCAGTATTCAGAACTTGGAAGGCAGAGAACTTTGAAGCAATAATACCCTTCACAGCAATGAAGGTAGTATTCTCCTTGTCCTTGATGGTTTGCTAAAAGTAAAAAATAATAACTATTTTTTGACTACCAACTGCAAGCTAGAGTCTTTGTCAAGTGTGTGTGTGTGTGTGTGCGTGTGTTGAATAACTACCTTATGTCAAGCACTGGGAGCACCAGGGTCACCAGAACAAATCTAGTTCATTCCCTCATAGAGGATTGAGTTAACTGAGGAAGATGTTTACAATGACAAACTGCAAAAAGTGTTTAGAAAATAAATCTAGTGAGGAGAGAGGTCAAGAAAGCTACCTCAAGTATGTGACATTTGAAGCTGACGTCTGAAGGTGGGGAAGCTTCCCAGGCCAGGACCACTAAGGGGTTAAGGAGGCTAGCGTGAGCATGTTCAGGCAGATAAAATATGTAGGAAGGAGAATGAACTTCTGAAGGGCATTCCATTGGCCAGATGGAAAGCAGTGACCCCAGAGAAGGCTGGGCCTGTAAAAAGGTGTTGCAGGACTTTTCCTTAGTTTGGCTAAAGATGCGATCTTTGTCTGTCCCATGCCCATGAAAATTTAGGCCTCCAGATGGTTTGAATGGTGACAGAATAGACAGTTTTATTGGGTGAAGAGGAAGAAAAGGGGGGAAACAGGGACTCTGGCAAGGCCAGAGTCCCCTGCTAAGGCGCTTCCCACATGCAGCTTGAATCCCAGGTGCCACACAGGAAGAGGAGGGGCCAGGCTCCTTCCTGTGGCAAATGGCATGAACTTCTGTATCTCCACCTCAATGCACATTCCTCCTAGTGCACAGGCTGGTTGGAGTTTTTCCGGGGACCCGTTCCACCTGGCTGTCTCAAAGGGAACCAGATTATGCAAGGTTTTCTGTTCCAGTTTAGGCTAAAAACCAAGAACGACTTTATTCTAAAGTCAAGAGGAAATATTTGATCGGTT